GGCTGTATCTCTTTTTTTTTTCAAATAGACTGTATTCATTGCTAAAGGGATAGTTCTGAAAATAAGAGAATGTTCATAATGCAATGTATAAAAGCAAATAATGCAATCAATATGTAGTGTTCTTTTTGGTAGATTATTTGGTTTACTTACAATTTTATCATTCTCTTTAGCAATGTGAATTTTAAGATTAAAATATTCTTTACATTTTTTTTTTTAGCTTTTTTTAAAAAATTGGAGTCCCACTCTGTTGCCCAGGCTGGATTTCCCTGTCCTGCTCACGACAATCCCAGTGTTGACTTGCTGGGCTCTGGCGATCCTTCCGCCTCAGCCTTCCAAGTAGGTAGAACTACAGGCTCGCACTACCATGCCTGGCTAATTTTTATTATTATTATTATTTATTGTAGAGAAGAGGTCTCACCAAGTTGCCACGCTGGTCTCGAACTCCTGGGCTCAGGTAGTCTTCTCGTCACAGCCTCCCAAAGTGCTGAGATTATAGGCTTGAGCCACTACACCTGGCCTGTTCTTTATATTTTTAAGTAGGTGCTACATTAAAGAAAATTAAAGATATTAAGTGATTTTGTTTTATTATATTTCTACAAGTTTTATAAACCACCTTGACATATATATATGATATATAGTTAGAAAAAATAGATTATAGCATAATATATTAATCTCCATTTGCAGTCTAAACCAGTTTTGGAATTCAGACATGTCCATCTATGTTCAAATCAACAATAAAGAAACCATCATGTACACTTAATTGCCATCTGCATTACAATTGCTTATTAGAGCAGATAAGTAACATGAATATTTTAATGGCAATTCTTTAAAAAAAATTTTTTCTTTGGCTATAGGGAAAAATGTTATTTTGTGAAAATGTGAGTTGTCCTTTGTTTTAAGCTATGTAGAGGAAAGAAATCAACAGGTGAGGAAAAAAAGAGAAGTTGCTATTTTAAGGTACTGCAGATCAGAGATAAACCACAGACTCAACTGCTTATGTCTTCCTATTTCTTATTTATGCTATTTGAAGGAGTAAAATAAATATTTTCTCCTAGCAAGATACATTCCTCCAGGTAAAATCCAGAAAAAGAAAAAAGCTGGTTTCCCACTATAATTACTTAGCATTATTTTGCTTCAGAAAAGTGAAAAACACCAATAAGTGTGCTTATACACAAGAAATTAAAAAAAAAGTCAAATATATACTCATTAGAGGTTATAACAGAAAAAATGTGTTTAAATTTAACTAGAAGACCTGATATGCTTAATATGTTATCTATTCTCCAATAAAAAACTGAAAATGGTTATGAGAATGTGCCTTTTTCCCTCTCTCTTTGAATTTTATTTAAAATTGTGGAGTACAATTCAGAGCTAGGTGTACAAATATTCACTGTGCAGGTACCCTTATCAATGAGGTGTGCCTCCCCTTCCCAGGTGATTTCCACTACTACCAATCTCACCTATCCACCACCCAAAGAGCTGAGTATCGCATGTTCTCACTCATAAGTTAATGTGCTTATGATATGGGCTTACAACTAGTTCTAAATATAAGGGTACCATCTATGACCATTTTAACGTATTTAATATAACACTATAACATGATACACTTACTCCTACTACTACTGAAAAAACTATAATCTGCATAATGGTAAAAGGAAATGACACTTTTGAATATATTGCAAATACGAAATGTGTCTGTATGCTTTAACTAGTTATTGATGCCCTAACATATTGTGCCTGTCTTTTCCACAGAGTAAAATTTCAATTGTATCTGCCTCCTAGTCTTGGACTTATTATGTTGACCATGGTGCCTTTCTCCACAACATAATGTCTTTCTATCAGAGTATGCAGGGAAGAGTTTCAGAACATGCTGTCCCCAAATATGTCACTTGGGCATATTGATTATTTTGAACTTTGGGCACTTAGGAAAGAACAAATGCAGGAAGCTCTTTCTAACCTCCTTCATTCTCCCTAAAAGATGGTCATAAATTTCCCCATGAGAAATATGCCCCCCCCACTATATTTGGAAGAGAAAACAATTTTAGTTTTATACAATTATAGTACCTGAAATTGTGAGTCAATGCTGAAATGGATCTGTGCAAAGAAACTTCCGAAAATAACCCTTATCTCTCAATAGTTTTCCCCATATATTTTCTAGTCAGTGTCCCACAATTTACTGTCCAACCCCTTTGTCTTATCACATACTCACAAGTTATCATTCTTTGTGTAGAAAGGTATATGTGACTTGGGCCTAACAGCTTCTTAGAGTCCTCATGTTCCTTCTGAACACTGCTGTGTACACATAAAAATAAATGTGTATGCTTTTGTCCTGTTAATCTTTCGTAGGTTAGTTTAATTCTTAGGCTACCCACAGAACCTAACAGGGTAGAAGAAAGTTTTCCTCCCCTATAAAGGCATTGTAAATACCTGAAAACAGGGAATACTTTTCTTAATTTCTAAAAATTTCAGTTTTTTTTTAATGTGATCTCACATTATCAGTCACCCAAATTGGATTGTAGGGATATGATTATATCTCACTGCAGCTTCAACTCTAGAGTTGAAGTGATCCTCCCATCTCAGCTTCCTGAATAGCTGGAACTGCTGGCAGGCACCACCATGCCCAGCTAATTTAGTTTTATTTTTTGGAAATAGGCATCTCTCTTTGTTGCTCAGGCTAGGCTTGACACCCTGGCCTTAAGCAATCTTCTCTCCTCAGCCTTCCGAGTAGTTGGATTTTTCTTGGAATTCTTAAAAAAAAAGAAAAGTTACCTCAAATTCTCTAGGCATTCTTTAATATGTCAAAAGAATCCAAAACAAAAAATTATGAGGAAAAAAATTACTATTTTTTATAGAATTTAAGTTACAATCTAGACTATGTTTTAAAAATCTAAATTGAGTATTTATGGCTAATAAGAGGAATCATGTAGCCCTATTATGTTCCTATTTCAGAATCAGAACTCCTAAAAAAAAATTACAAAAATTCATTTAACCCTTTCTGTGGAATTAAACTTTTTTTTAATCTTAGAAATTGAAGGTACCTTAATGCCATCGTTTCATCAAGAGCACAAATTCACCCAAAGCTAAATTTAACAACACTATCTGATTTTAGGGATGTTAAATTTAATAGCTATCAGGGTAAATTATTACTATTAGAATTGTATTTCTTTCTTAAATTTAATTTATTTAAATTTTAACTTTTTATTTTAAAGATATGGGGTACAATTCAGGGTTAGATATACAAATATTCATTATGCAGGTACCCTTGTTGATGTGGTGTACCCTCCCTTCCCTAGGCAGATTCCCACTACTGCCAATCCCGCTTCCCCACCCCCCTCCCGGCAGTTTCCTATTACTGCCAATCCTATTCTGATAGTATTATGATAATTGTTCAAGGTCCGCTTATGAGTAAGAACATGTAATACTCAGTTCTTTGTTTCCATGAAAGATCATTCAGTATTACAGACTCTAAGTTCATCCAAGTTGCTGTGAAGTTCATTAAATAGAATTTTAGTTCTTAAATTGAGAAAATTGTTTTCTCATAAAGTGTCTGACATCATTTCTATTTTTGCTTCTTTAAGTGAATGCTAACTTTGTAAACTTTCTTTAGATGTCAACTTTTTAAATAGTTTGAAATTGAATACATATCCTTTTCTTTACTCAATTTTTCTAGTTTTTACTATTTTTCTGCATATGAGGGGATTTCAAGACTAATCATCTTTCTGGTATCCATGATCTAAAGGTTCTTACAGATGCTCTTTTATAGTTTGACTCATGCCATACAAAGTCATCAACTGGATGTTCAGTTGGGTATTAATATCTGTCTTGATGTTTCATAACTGTGAAGATCAAATCAGAGGAAAGTTTTCTGAATATGTTCTATCCTAGTTTTTTACCATATTCTTATATTATTTTACAATTTGTATTTTTATAAAATATTATAACTTATACATTATTTTTACATGTATTGTATCCTTTATTTTAAAAATATTTCAAGGTAGGCTGGACCTAAATATTTGCCCTTTAATTTATGTAGAAAGTAAATTCAGTAAGTTTAATGTGTTAGGAGCTAAAATATAGCACAACATTAAAAGCGTCAAGACCAGAAGTGTGTTCCTTCCACTTGAAATTTTTAATATCATTGTGAAGGGTAAGTTGAAGATACATTCAGATCAACTGGAAGCTGGTCTTATCATATATTAACACGCATACATATATGCACATACTCACATATTAAAATATGTATTTTAGAGCTATAAGTAACTTTAGCGTAGTGATAATTTGGGTGAAATGGCAAAAAGATTAGTCTATATATTGAATCCCAAGTTTTCTTAATGAGCAGTCAAACTCAGAATATGCTTGTGAATTTCCACTTGCAGAGCACACAGTATCCAAATCCAACTAGACATGTGATATCATACGCCACCACTGTGAAACTTCTTTTGACACAATTCAGAATGCTTTGACAAGGGAATAAAATAGCTATGGAGAGAAGTGATTATCAATCTTGTTTGCTTTTCTAAAGCTATAATGGCAGTAGATATGTGAAAAAATCAAAACATTTCATTGAATGTGAAAATAAATTAATCTTGATATTTTTTAAAGTCCTCTTTTATTTTGCACAATTTGGTGTGCCTGGTGCTCAGCATCGTTTCTCTCTAATAAGTACATTAAAAAATATGGCTAAAAAGTTTTAATATTTGGTGTTTTGTGTTGTTTAATTGGTAAATCTTAATGAGTTTAATTGGTAAATCTTAATGAGTAGTTAGGTTATATAATATGCCTGTACTTGGAAGACAACATGCAGAATTGAGCTAAAAAATTAAAATAGATTATTTCTTTAGTGTAGTATAAGGTGTAAGCAATAAAGTCTTGGTGATTATGTTATTAAGCCAGTGTGTAAATAATATTCTTTAGAATCTAATGCAGCATATGAGCTTATTTATTCAGTTCATTATCTATGTGTTTGTATGTATCTGTGTATTTGTGTATGTCTTACAGCTGTTATTTCAAGAAACCAAGAAGGGCCAGGAGAAATGGGAAAGGCCGTGCTGATTCCGAAAGATGACCAGGAGAAAATGAAAGAGCTGTTTAAAATCAATCAGTTTAACCTTATGGCCAGTGATTTGATTGCTCTTAACAGAAGTCTGCCGGATGTCAGATTAGAAGGGTGAGTTTATATGTGTTAGATAATCTTATATTTATTAATCTCCATATTTCAGAATTTCAGAACTTAGCTAACCCAGGTTATATCAATTCTAGCATTTCATGGTTCAGAGTACCTATGGCATAGCAGGAATTTACTGTGCATGTACATGCTGAGAAATATGAACTATTTTCTACTCTGGCAAAGCAAAATATGTTACTTGCAAAGACACTGCAGAATACAGTGTCTACACTACAGACCTAACAGGTTTTTCTTCATGAGATATTTATGTTTTGTTTGGCTTTGCTTTGTCTTGCTAAATACAAAGCAAGCATTCTCTTTAGTGGATTACAGTCATACGTTGATTAACGATGGATAGTTCTGAGAAATGTGTCATTAGGCAATTTTGTTGTGTGAATATCATAAGTCTACTTATACAAACATATGTTATATCTCACTGTACACCAATGCTATATGGTATAACCCATTTCTTCTAGGCTACACATCTGTACATCGTATTACTGTATGGAATACTATAGGCAATTGCAACACAGTTGTAAGTATTGTATGTCTAAACATATTTAAACATCGGGAAAGTAGAAAAAAAAAGATTTAAAATGGTATGCTTGTACAGAGCATTTACCATGAATGAAGTTTGCAGGATTGAAAGTTGCTCTGGGTGAGTCAGCAAATGAATGGTGCATGAATGTGAAGACCTAGTACATTACTGTACAGCACTGGAGACTTTATAAATACTGTACACTTAAGCTGCACTAAGTTTATTAAAAAATTCTTTCTTCAACAATAAATTAGCTTATTGTAACTTTTTAACTTTATAAACCTTTACTTTTTAAACTTTTAGTCTTTTGTAATGATACCTTAAAACACAAGCACATTGTATAGCTGTACTAAAATATTTTTTAATTTTTAAACTTAAAAAAAAGAATTAACACAAATATACATGTTAGCCTAGGTCTATACAAGGTCAGGATCATCAAAATGACACTAAGCAACAGGAATTTTTCAGATTCGTTGTAATCTTATGGGATCACCATCATGTATGTAATCCATCATTATATGATGCATGGCTATATTTGCTTGCCTGCATAGAAAGCTTCATATACTTTTCTTTGAAAAAATGTATGCTTTGTTATTCTGTCATAAAAATAGCCAATTGCCTTTATGAGTCTTTGACCCTTTAAAATTAGTTATTATGGTTCCCAGCAGTTTATGCTGCTATTTATAATTAGAATGTTCATTTGTCAGCAATGGAAGAAATATTAGCTTGGAAATAATATTGTAGGAAAAATGATGTTGAAAATTCAAAATTTATGTGTTTAACTGTAAGATATACTCTAGATATTTGAACATATCTTAAATGGATGTAAAATCAGAATTTTTAGTGGCAGCATTGTCATTCTAATATACAGGCCTTGCAAAGCAAACTATTGGTATTCACAAATGATATGTCCTGAGATTTTTAGAAAATCTCCAACTTTACAAATATACTCTAGGACCCACTTTCATGTAAATAGAAGTTGTCCTTTTAGCACCTAATAATTTTCAGTACATTCAATAAAATCATAATTAATAAAAATAAAGTTTGCTACCTGTAATAGGCTACATTACATTGCTGTGTCATGATACTGACATCATATTTACTAAATCTGAATTTTTTCCTTTCTAAATTACTTCATATAACACCAAGTCTTGTTGAGATGCCAGGGCTGTTAATTTTTAGAAGATTCATTTGGTAGTTAATTAATTGCTTTGTATGCTTTTGAAATGTCTCTTTTGACAAAATGATGAATAACTACATATTATGGACGTTTTTGGTCCCTACCAAATGGCTTAACATTGAATATTAAACTTGTGCATTGCAAAAGCCTAAATAATTTTACATATAGTCTTATACATATGTTTATATGTTTGTATATATAGATACATTTGCAATGTTAAGGTATACAATGGGCATATTCTTCAAAATAATTTTGAGCTTTTTAGATGCTAAATTTATAATGTTGCATGTACTTCTTTATTTTATATGCTACATTGTGATCAAATGGGTGGGTATGAGACTTACATGTTCAGGAAAACTAGCTAAAAAGTATTTCAAGTCTTTTTTTTTTTTAATTTTGACTTTCAGCTGTCAGAATATAAATAAATTTTATATCAGATCTTGGATTATCAAGGTAAGAATGACTTTACTACAGAAATATGTATTGATTAAAAAGGTAAAAAGAAGCAAAAACTACATTGAGCACATATTTAAAATATTAGTAACCAATGGTGTTTCTTCTTCTTCTTCTTCTTTTTTTTTTTTTTTTGAGTTGGAAGTCTCACTCTGTTGCTGAAATTGGAGTGCAGTGGTCGCTCCCGGTGGCCTCGACCTGCTGGGCTCCAGCGATCCTTCTGCCTCAGCCTTCCAAGTAGCTGGAACTATAGGCGCGCGCTACCACACCCAGCTAATTTTTTTGATTTATTGTGGAGATGCAGTCTCGCCAAGTTGCCCAGGCTGGTCTTGAACCTGCAGGCTCAGGCAATCCACTCACCTCAGCCTCCCAAAGAGCAGGGTTACAGGCTGAGCCACGGAGCCTGGCCTGTGTTTCTTCTTTTAAGACTCACTTAGCATATTAAGTACTTGAGTAAACCTTAGACTGCAGAACAATTCAACATTTTAAAATGGAGTATTCAATTGCTTAGCATAAAAAGCACATAACATGCCATATTTGCAGTGTGTATAACTGCTTGAATTCTGAGAACTTACAAAGTCTCTGGAATAATACTAGTGAAATGAATAACTTTCTATTTTATTCTTATGTAAAACCACAGCATATGTTATCAATAATAAAACAAATACCATCCAACATTCCTAGAAAATCATAATGTGTGATGTGCATTGGAGGAATTTGCAAGTCATCCTGAATGACTCAATTGGGTGACTGCCTGGGAGCACATGTTGAAAAACTCACCAAGAATCACATATTCAAACTGTTATTTAAAAGATTTAGAAATATGTTAATACTCATTTAATCTAGAAAATATTTTTTAACGTTTTACTATTAGTCAGTTATAGTTGAATTTTTGCATAGTTACATTTGTTAAAATATATGAATACACTAAGCTAGCCCCAATGATGACTGGTATACATTATATAAAGACGTAAAAAAAATGAGATTCCCAAATGCCTAGTTTTGTTTTTTTTTGTTTTTTTTTGAGTTGGAGTCTCATTCGGTCACCCAGACTAGAGTGCAGTGGCCGCTTCCGGCCACCGCAGCCTCACCTGCTAGGCTCCAGCGATCTTTCCACCTCAGCCTTCCGAGTAGCCGGAATTACAGGCATGCGCTACCACGCCCGGCTGATTTTTTGATTTATTGTAGAGATGAGGGCTCGCTGCGCAGGCGGGTCTCGAATCCGCGGGCTCAGGCAATCCACTCACCTCAGCCTCCCAAAGGCGCGGGATTACAGGCTGAGCCACCAAGCCCGGCTTCAAATGCCTAGTTTAAAAAAAAAACAACAAAAAAAACTCAGTTTATTTAAGTAGAAGATTTCAGTTGATACTTGAAAAATGGCTGAATTGCCCAAACAATGAATTTACACAATTATCTAAGCACATTTTACTGCAGTATACTTGAAATTATTTTGACTAAACAGCGAAAACTATCAAAAATGTAATATTGTGTTTGTTCCTAATATCAGTCTGCAAATATTGAAAGATATGTTCAGAAGAATAAATCTAACTATAACCTATATATATTCTATCCTATATATGCCTATGTTTTCACAGATAGCAAACTAGGTAAAAATAGTTTTTCTTAGAGACAATTGTGATGAAGCATTCGACAAAATGGAATTAAGTTCTATAACATACATATTTGGGGATGTTTAAATATATTTAACATATTTAAGTTATTAACATATGTAACACATTTATATATAATTCTCAGTCATTTGGGGAATATAAAATGGTAGTTACCACAAAAAGTCATGTTATTTGCATATTTGAGTGCAATTAAGGCTGTAGACCTTTACTAAGTTACTTACTTTCTTGAAGGCTTTTAATTTCTGGGATTCTTGTTTATTCTATTTCTAGGTATAAATAAAATTCCAGGCAGCGGTATCCAACTCTCTTTCTTCTTTGATCAATCTTCACAAAAACAAAAACAAAAAACAAAAACAGAAAAAATAAGGTGACTGTCATGAAATTCTATCTGATTCAGAATGTTGAGAAAAATGAATGTTAACCTCATGGCTCAATGACTCAGCAATAAGAATTTGTTAGCATGTTTCTCATCAATCAGGGGTCTAAGATTTTGTAAATTTATATAGTTTGGATTTTAGAAGAACAGAGTTTGAATATTTCTGCTTTCAGTAGTAAAAATATAGATGTATTTTGTTTATTTTTAACCTAAGATTCTGTTAATATTTGGAGAGAGAGAGCTTAGAACAGAGAGTGAGAGTGAGGAAGAAGGGTCAGGAAGGAGGTAGGAAAGATAGGAGAAGAGAGAGATGGGGAGAATATTGCCAAACTAAAATAAATAAATAAATAAAACTATTAAGAGATATTAAATATCTTATTGAACACCTAATATGCTTATATGTGCCAACTACTATTCTATGTGCAGGGGATATAGCAGTGAAAACACCAGGTCCCTGCGTCATAGAACTTAGAACAAATAGAGTAACTAAGAACAGTAGAGTATTTAAGGAAAGCCTGTTTGATAAACTTACAACTGAGTATACTGAATATACATTAGGCACTTAAATATTATAATTTTTTTGTTTACTCATATGCAGAATTCTGAAAAACTAGATTCCTGGAATAAACAATGCTAGAAATATGAGTTACCCATGTATATACAAAACGTTTTACCCATGTGAATATACGAAACTTTATAAAGATACAGAAGCAAACACACAAACATTAAGCAAATGCATGGATGTATATCTAGATTTGTGTTAAGTTTTGAAAACAGTATTTGAATTGTATTTCCCTGAAAGTCAGCAAAATATCACATTTTGGT